TAGTTGCCACGCTTAGGAGGCGAATTTGCAACTGCAGATGTCGTAATTTAAAGTTACTGTTATATATATATATATATATATATATATATATATATATATATATATATATATATATATATATATATATATTACTGGTAACGTTGCATTCAGTTTTAAATCTTAGGAGTGACAGCTAATCTACATTTTAATTCTCAGAGAGGATAGTTACAAGCATCTATGGGGCACGGTCTTCACTTATCATCGGGTAGATTGTAAGCCCGGATTGAAGGTGTTGGCGGTGTTTTACCTTTCTTACTCGGAAACCACTTAAATATGTTAGTCCTGTACCTAATCTCTCTCCACTGCTTGTGTATGCACTCGGGACTATAATTCTGTTCTGTGCAGATGGCTACTCTCCGTTAAAACTGGCCACCGTGACGGACATTTTTGTAAGAAAATTTTCGCCTTTATTCTATATACAAAAATGGCCAAGTGGGTTTCGGGCCACGCACAAAGTAGAGATAAGGTTCCGTAGTTTGCCGTCCAAATACGCGGGCTTCCGTGATAATGAGCACAATAAGTGAGTTCGCGATTTGACCGCTATAACGACCAAAATGGGCCCAAATAGGAAGATCGCAACTGAAAAACTTAGGGTTAAATCGGCCTTATAGGTGGTAATCAAAAAAACATTAAAAAAAATTCAATTTTGATAATAATACCCTATTTGTCCCGCAAATGACAAAGTAAAGCTAATAGTAGTAATGTATATAAGTAGTTTTCTTCATAAAATGTTTATTTTAACAGTTCACAATAACATTGTTACAAAGTTATTAATGCAGCTAGTTTTAGGTCATTTTTATGGAGCTGTAACGAAACTTTTACTAATCGAAGTGCATTTTATAACTTGGCCTTTATCGAGTTATTCCTTTACTTCTTAATTGTACGTAGCTGTGATAGTTTACCATTTAACTTCACTATATATACTCCTATTTTGTATATTTTTCAAATTTGCGAAGCAAGCGGTTTAATTGGTAGACGGGGGCGGGTGGGGAAGACGGACTCCAATGAAAAATACAACTTTAAAGCAAACGGACCACTGAACTGAAGCATTGTCGGTAGTAGAAATTAATCAGGGCGTGATTAATATCTATTAAAATGCTAAATTTCAGATTTGTAGCATCTAGGATCTCTGAGCAAAACCGCGGACGGACGGATGGACATGGCAAAACTACAAGGGTTCCTTGTTGTGTATCTACGGAACCCTAACAAAACCTCAGTTGAGTAGTTGTTATTGGTTACAGGTAAATGTGGGTTAGGGTTGGTTCAGCTCTTGCTCGTTTGTCTTTCTAATATTGTTAAAATTATATCTTCAGGCAAAACTGAATCCTTTTAGAATGTTGCATGGTAAGCCCATGGTCTTTTGCAAAAGTTAGTTTGAAAAAAAAAAGCACCAACCTCACGTAAACTTAACCTATCCTCAATTAAAGAACAGGATACAGCAGTCTCCATTATTCTCCAGGCTTAAAATGAAAAAACTCGTTTCCAATAAAAGTATCTCAAGTTCTCATTACTTACCATTCGAAAGACAGCATTATCATGCTGCAATTTTGGCTCTACCGTGAAAGTACCACGTGGCTACTATACTATTTTACGGAATTGAAATTTTCTTTACGGTAAGGGAATTATGCTAAAAAATGAAACAAAATACTTATAAACAGAATCATTATTTAATCAATATTATTTAAAGAATCATCACAACTTGCGTAAAAAATTAAAATACTACCTTACATAGGAAACATAAAAGCAATATATTGAGTAACATTTTCATACACTTTTGAAATTTATTTTACTATTACGATTTTGTGCATGATTGTACCTTAAGATTGAGAAAGTATTTTACTGATCATGTCATTAGCTTATTAAAATTTAATTATTGTAATAATAATAATTAATTAATTACTTATTTCTATAATATTTACACTTGCCTTAAAATTAATTAAAGAGTATTATCGGTTTTTAATTTGGCGCATCATCTGGCATATTATATTATTAACATTATTTATATATTAATTTTATTGTTAAATTATGTGCTTAAATATAATTATTTGTTTTTATTATGAATTTATATTTATTGAGTTTATTTCTTATAAATACACGCTTCTACGAGATACATTTTGACCTTTAGTTTTATATAATATAATATTATGTAACGTTTCATAAAGGAAAAAAAAAGATAATTTGGAGGATATTTAATAATAACTCTAAATTTGTTAATTTACATTTTTATTCCTACGCAACGATTTTACTATGTTAGATTCATTAAAGGAAACCTTTTATATTTGATATATAATAAGGTAACAATGTAAATATGCTTGCCCAAAAGTCAAATCTAATTAAGTAAATTTTATGAACCTTAATAAATAATAATATTAAATATTTAATAAATTCTAAAACAACTAATTTGATTACATTGAGCGTTCACTATGTGAAATATAAATTAAAAATATAGGAATGGCTGCTTTGGTAGAATCTCCGTCTAATAAAATGAGATCAATTAATATATGAAACAAATTTTTACGAAGCATAGATATAAGGGGAAATATATTATAGAATTGCACTCCAAGTGCCAAAAACTAACATCACTATCTGCATGCGATGTCCATACTGATAAAATAATGAGGTTTCTCGCAATCAAAGTGATTGCAGAAAATCTATTCACATATTCTGAATTCATATAATACAGATTGGTTATGCGGAATACTGCCAATGCCAAGCATATCTTGCTTTTATTTTACCTGGTGAGTATAGAGATTTTTTATCAAGGTTGCATGCTCGGCAGATTAAACTGAATCTATCAGTCTGAACAGAAACAAATTTTACGGATTTTATCGCGTTTAATTTTAACTTATTAAATGAGTGCGTGACCATGAGTGCTGTAAAGCACCCGATGCGTCGTGAATTAAAAGTTAAAATTAAACGCGATTAAATCATAAAATTAGTTCCATTTAATGAGTCTATCAGTCGGTTTAATTATAGGGCTATAAAACATAAAGAAGAAAGTACAAGTTGTATTATTGTTCGCATAAAACAACTTTGAAAATAAAACGTAAAAAACTTTGTTAAAAATTTAGGATAAATTTCAATTGTTTCACGTCAACCTCTTAGCTAGGATTTTGTAATACTAATTAAATAATACCGATACAATTGAGCAATAAAACAAAATTGACTAGTTGTTTCGATATAAATCACAATATTTTAACGATTGGATTATCATTGTCATCTTGAGCTGAGAGATTAAATAGTAATGAAACAATATATTGCCTTAGTTTGAATCACTTTAAATTTTCGTGGTAGCTTACCCCAATAACTGCTATTTACAAACAACTTCTTTTCCGTGGGCATTACAAAATAAATTTCAAAAAGAAAATTATGTTACATAAATCGTCCTCTTCACAAAAACTACGCACTATGAGTGTTCCGTGCCACTGAACTTTAAATTTAATTTCACATGTGTATATGCCAATTTTCAATTATTTACGAGGAAAATTTTTGGAGAAAAAACATTGCCATAGATAGAGAGATAGACTGACAGAAAAAACACCGTGATCCCTTATGTACGGCTCTGCTGAATGTGGCATGAAACACTAAAAACTACTTATAATGCATTCTACATACAAACAGTGTAGCAGAGCTTAAACACTAGATAGCAAGGACATTATTTACAGACGTTAAACATATTAAGTGACTTAAAATATTGTCAACATATATAGTGAGTATGCAACATAAAAACAATGAGATCGATTCCTATATATATATTATATATATATATATATATATATATATATATATATATATATATAATATATAATATATAATATGTATTTTATTTACATTACCGTTGTCATTGAAGACACTATTGAAGAAAAATAATATTTTTAAATTATTACAATTGCTGATATGGTCAAATTATTACTTGACGATTAATTACATACTATGGTATCAAATCGCGCAGTGCATTAAGTCACCTAAGGACATTTCAAATTTTACAAGAATTAATATCTCTAACAGAACGCATAGAATCCGTCATTCTACAGAACAGCGGTATGAACTACAGTGAATACTGTATAACTTTCTAAATATACATGCCTATGATAAAATAAGGGGCTAGTGCTTTACAAGGATCTGTTACAGCTAATATTAAGTTATTATATTGTATAGTTAAATTAGGATTTTAAGCGTAATATAAATCAAATCTCCTGGACGGAAAGGCAGAGAATTAAATATTGCCAATGAATATTAATATTTTTAATCAAGACTAATATAAACGATAATTTAATGTTCAAACTTTTACTAATTTGCTTAAGATGTTTGGTGTTATTTCATTATGGTACTTAAGTAACTTATTAGTATGTTTATTTTATTATTTAACACGTATATCTTTTTAGTTGCTATTATTAACTATTAATTATTTAAAATACTTACACTTGAACTAAGTGAGCAATAAGAAATAAAGTCACACACAAATTAAATCATAAAATATCACAACCTTAAGAAACTATAGCGTTTTGTAGCTTTTTATTTTGGCATATTTCTTAATAAAAGACTGTTAGTAATACTGAAATATGACTAGAGATTATCATGAGACACAGAATGAACCTAGCACTTAACATGTTTATATATAAGACTACTTATAATTTGTATAATTATCTATTTAAGGTTAGGTCTTGATATGCTAATAGGCTAAAACTAAGCGTGAGTATAAATATTATTGAATTATCACAATATAATGCGAACATTCTTAATACATTTATGGATAGTATTTAACTTTAGATTTGGTCGTTTCAGTAGATTTCGAGTCTGTACTTGGGTAAAAAAGTGAAACTATATTTTTAATTTATTCAATTCGTTGTCACTAGATTAGTTTAGAATGCAGTTACAAATAATCCAATGAATTTTCTCGATAATATGTACACATGTTAGTTCGAGAACTACTGAGTGAAAACGACCAAATAATCTATGGGCTAGGTACTGCATTTAAGAATCTTTCTAAACGCCTTTCTAAATTCGGGATTGAATATTGTGTAGATGACAGGATTGAGAAACGAATTGATGTATCCGAGCCAAGTGTTGAGAATGAAGACCGTGACACCAGGACTAAATTGTAGTCCAAACTTTCCACAGATGGCGTCTACAACGTTGCAGGTGAAGAATGGAGCCCAACAGAATAAAAATACACCTGGTAAATAAATGTGACTTTAATAACTCTCCTTTTTAATTAGGATTAACATTAATTATTATTGATCGATTTTCGTAATTTATTTGTAGCTAGCATCCTTGTAAATCTTTTATTTATATACCTTGAATTTGCCGTGTAGCGAAACAGATTGGTATTTGAAGTAAATAAATTATTATATGTGAAATAAGTACATGTAAACAATACGATTGACACTAATTATTTTACTTAAATTTCTTTACATTATTGCTCATTAATAGTGTTGACACATATACCTACATATTTGTACTTCTTTCATTTATTATTTTTATTTTCTTTATAATCATATATATTCTTTATATATATATATATATATATATATATATATATATATATATATATATATATTCTTTATATATATATATATATATATATATATATATTCTTTATATAAGTTTCAGTAAGTCATAAAGATTACAAGTATAAATTATGAATATTACTTAACACAATCAATTAGCGACCGATGACGAGCGGCAGTGTCATCGGCATGAGATTCTGATACTGACTCACCCCTTGTCAAGTGTGACGTTAAATAAAAAGGTAAGGCCCATATCCAGCTGTAGACTTTTATGGGCTGATAAAGAAAATAAAGAAAACAGTTTTATGGCATGTTTTATCTGTTCATTCCCATAATTGTCTCTAACGCGGTTGAGCCACGCAATTTTATTATGGTTGTAGCACGAATAGGTCGAATCTACTGGGGAAACAACATGCTCTGTCCGAGTTTTGTGTGGTGTGTGTAGGGAACCGGACACCTTTTCTACTGGAAACAAGACATTTCGTCTGGGTCCTGATGGGTGACAACGCATCTGTATTCTGATTCCCAGTCGAGGATATTGTAGATGTCCATGGGTCATAGCATTCACTTAACATCAGGTAGACTGTGTGCTTGTTTTCACCCTTATTTTAAAGGAAAATCTTATAAAGTTTTTGGATGATAATGATCGTGAATTTAAAAATGACTTACCTAAAACAATGGCTAATGTTTTTGTAGCTTTCCTCTCTTTTTTGGCTGAGGACTTCTCCCTCTTCTTCTTGCTAGCTTTATTCGCCTTGTAGATGGTGAAACGAGCCGTTGCAGCGCTGGCTTTCCGCTCTTTTTTGGAGGTTGAACCGTCGCGGAGATCTAATTGGCTAGCTTCATGATCATCATCAGACCGAAGAGCGAGCGATGCGTTTCTAAAACCAATCCCGTATGTCCATTTAATCAATCAATAAAACAATATATTTTTATTGTATCATTACAGCCAATAAAAGTCCACAGCCGAAAATACCCCCCCCCCCCCCCCCACCCCACCCCATGGATTGCCTTAAAAGTTTTCTGCCATAGTTGCTAGGCTTGGTACAACTGCAATTTTGTAATTTTGAGTTGTAATGAGGAAGAAGCTGCTGGATGTTTCCAGTTTTATTTTACTACTGTTGCCTCTTACGACACCCTCAGGATAATATGGGGCAAAGGATATTCTTACAACACCATTACATGGTTTGCTTATTTCAATTATACACCAGTTCAAAAACAAATACAGGACGAAAAAAATAAAGAAGGCGGACAATAGGCGGTCTTATCGATGTGTAAGCGATCTCTCCAGACAACAATTTTACGCAAAGAACTGTTGTTCACAAAGAATGGCGAAGCAAAAGACGTACATAAATTTTTAAAAGACATAAAAAATTGTTCCCTCCGAACATTTTATAAATGACAAAAATATTTTATTATTAATTATTTTCCGCAAACGACAGAGGAGCACGGAGCAACACGTGCCACCGGTGGATCAGAGGGGAGTAGCCATACCCAGACAGGTCGTACTATAAAACTATTTGCAACCACACTGCTCACTAGATTAAATCTAGTTGCATAGTTCGAAGTCCTACAAAAATACTGAATTTTTCAGTTTTTTGTTGCAAAACTAGATTTTTTTACCTTTCCTAGTACCTAGTAATTTTAATCACATTATTGCTATTTACTTTTTTTTAAACTTAATAACTACAATTACAACGGTCGTGTTGTTTCAGATTTATTTACCAACACAGACCGCTTTCCCTCATACAATATCAATCGAGCGACTGATTCGAGTGAGTATCCAAGTTGTCGCCTTCACAGGGCATGTACCTACGCATGTGTGAAATTCTTAGTTTATTATTTTAATTGTTATGTGTGAGTTACGTAGTGACAGACAATTGTTTATGTGTGCGCACATCCCCCCCACTCCGCAAAAATTACAGACAGTTCTGTAACGGGAAAAAAGCTATGACTACTCCAGTCCGTTAGTGGTCCATTTTGCTCTATAAAAGCAACGTAGTAAATAAATTAAAGTTGACAAAAAATTACTTTGCGTACATCCGCTCGATAAAATAAAATGATCTGTCTTACCTAGTTTGAAGAGCACTTACCGCCCTCCCTCAATTGGGTGCACTACTATGGTGGCTAACCGCTAAGACACCTCAGCGGTTAGCCACCGTAGAGTCTATATCACCTGAGGATGCCTCGTGTAGAGGCGAAACACGTGTCGTATTGTCGTCAGTGGTGTATCTTTACTAGTGTAGTGGTGTTGGGTGTAGTGGTGCTGGGATTAGTGGCGACGGGGATAGTGCACCCAATTGAGGAAGGACGGGAGGTGCTCTTCAAACTAGGTAAGACACATCATTTTATTTTATCGAGTGGATGCACGCAAAGTCGTTTTTTGTCAACTTTAATATAATGGACTTCCGCAAAGTAACGCCTGATTCAATTAATTATAATAAATAAATGTTTTATACGTGGTACCACGATGCAGTTATTTATTCACAGTACTGCGAATAAATGTTTCGTGCAGTGGCTGCAGAGAACAGAGACACATTTACTATTTACGAGTAATTTATACGTGGTAAAGCCATGCTGCAGTTACATTAGTAGTAGCACGAATGAGTCGGCTCGACAGGGGAAGGACCACGCTCTCACAGAATACCAGCGTAAATAGCAGCTTAACGCTGCTGTATTCCGTATGGTAAGGTTCCGGAGATCCCTTTTACTTAAACGAGGCATTCCATCTTAATCCTCACGGGTGACAACGCGTCTGAATTTTTATTCGTAGTCGAGGATAGATGTAGATGTATATGGCTCACAGCAACTACTTACCATCAGGTGATCTGTGTGCTCGTTTGTCACCCTTATCCTATAAAAGAAATCCGAGATGACCTCAGTGGTTACAACGTATCTACGTTATATTGATTCTATAGAGAGGATAGATAATATGAGGTGTCTATGAGCCACAGCATCCAGTCAACATCAGATAGATTATGTTTTAGCACCATTCCATTACCATTACGGCCCATAATAGTCCAATGCTGGACATAGGCTTCACCCAAACATTTTCTCTTAAAGAAGGTTTTGCTATAGTTGCCACGATTAACATGCGGGTTGTCCTTACTAACTTTTAAATGTACAAAATCCTTTATATTATATGTACAAAAATAAAATAAACGTACCATCATAATTACCTCATTTCGTTTGGTTTTTTTTTTATAGGATAGGGTGACAAACGAGCACACAGTCCACCTAATGGTAAGTAGTTACTGTGACCCATAGACATCTACATCGATCCTCAATAAAGACTCAAGATCCAGATGCGTTGTCACCCGTGAGGACTAAGATGGAATGCCTCTTTGCCAGTAAAAAGGGTCTCTGGTTCTCTACACTCATCATACAAAACACAGCAGCGTTAAGCTGCTTTTTACGCTGGTTTTCTGTGAGAGCGTGGTCCTTCCCCGATCGAGCCGACCCATTCGTGCTACAACTATACTACTAATATAGCTGCAGCATGGTGGTAGAGCACCACGTAAAAACGGTTGGTAGGTAAACTATACTGGAATGTGATTGCATTGACAAGTTGTTACATATCAGGGAAATTATTTGTTTATTTTTCACCCTTGCCTGCCACAAAATTGAATAAAAACGTCTCTTATTTTTATCGCGTGTGACGGTTGTCTGTAGTTGACAAACCGTTCGGATATACATATATACGATAATGTTTTGACGTGATTTGCTTATACGCGCGTGGTTTAATTTTGTAATAAAGCATTTGATTCATGTCCTATAAATGGTCGGCTGTTTTTTTATCACTAATATATTTTTTTACCAAAATTGCGAAATTATAATACATATTTAATACGCGTTGTCCTAGAAAAAGTGAAGTGTAATTCACTAACAAAAATATCGGCATAGTGGCTTATTAGCTTTAAAGTATATTAGCGGCATATTGACCTTACATAATCAAGAATCGCCTATATGTTTCGTCATTCATCTTTACATAAAGTCAGGATTGATATTGAGTAGAACTATTCTAAACATTGAAACATTACTTTATATATATTATCGAAATTTATACCGACTTCAAAAAGGAGACGGTACTCAATTCGACTGTAAGTTTTTTTATTAATGTTTGTTACCTCATAACTTTTTACTGGGTGAACTTATTTCGATGATTCTTTTTTTCTTTGATAGCTTGTGCTACACACGTGGTCTCATATAAATACGATCACGGTCTGACCAATATTTTGAGTTATTCTAAATAATTTATATTGAAGTCTGTTGTACAAAATTTTTAATTTTAAATTACTTCATAAATATTTAGGAGCTGATCGCGTATGAAGTACTAACACACTTTGGTGTTCGGTTAGCGTAAGAATATCCACTACCCTATATCATACCGTGGGTGTCGTAATAGACGAGAGAGATGGGCAGCAGCGTCTACCTAATATCGACACAAAATAAAAAAACTGCGATTGCCAACCTGCTCACCAAGCGTAGCAACTATGGAAAATATCCCGGCTCTGAAGCAATCTACGAGAGCTGCCTATGTTCAGCAGTAGAATTTAATAGGCAGTAGCGGTAACATAACGGTAACGGTCTCAATTTTTTTTTATATACAAATTCGGAGTAAATAATAAGCATACAGTCCTACAGATAGTAAGTGACATGAAATACAGTCACCCATATGAATAATAATTTAAAATTGAAAATTTTGTAAAGCCGACTTTAATATAAGTTATTAGGAATAACTCAAAACTATTAGTCTGACCATGATCAAATTCATATGGTACCACACGAGAAGCATCAGCTTTCATATAAAAAAAGTCATCGAAATCGGTTCACCCAGTAAAAAGTTATGAGGTAACACACATAAAAAAACATACAGTCGAATTGAGTACCGTCTCCTTTTTGGTAATCGGCAGAAAAGGCATTTTTTTGAGGACATATTGATGAAATTGTCAATAGATTATAGATAATAATTATACTCTGACTCTCTTTGACATTTAAACTGGACTAACTTTGTTGTTCGGAGATAAAGTCCTTAAAAAAGAAGCGTTAACACCTAGAAATTTCTTTTATAACATGTAAGAAAATATTGCTTTTTTTAAATTATTTTACACTTACCTTGAGTCTGTATCTATTCTTGCCATTTTCCCGTTTTTCCTCCACTTCGAATCGCAAGACACATTCCGTAAAACCGTGGCTCCCTGTAATCCCGGAGATCCCGGCGGAGATACATGTTCCCGTATCGTATCTTCAATGTTGGAAGCTGCGTAACCCGAATCGTTATTTCCATTCGGGTCGGGCATAATTTGCATTTTAAGAACTTTCTTGGGCGTCCTGGAAACATGAATGTTTCTGCTATTATTCGTACGATCATTTAATCTTTTTTTAAGTTTTGCTAATTAGGTTATATACAGTGATCCCAACTGTGTCCCTTATTTACATCTAACTATATCTTTGAATTAAAATAATACCGCAAAAAAAAAACTAAGCCTAAATCACGCTATTGAATTTTCCAAACGACTCTGTATATAAGAACAAGCTAGCACACGGACCGTTGGACGCTCGCCAGGCCGAACAATTTGCCCATCGGAAGATCTTCACTTTTCCATCAGATATAATAACAAGCTATCAACTGTGCAGAATATGAGATTTTTCGTGGAAAGTTTGGTCCAGTTTACTGTCTGAACCTGAAAGACGAAACTTTGACCGGCTGCAGAAAACTGTAGATCAGTTCTGCCCGAAATCGAAGAAACTGTTCACGTGACGTCAAGTCCAGAATGGGAAATTGGCAAAAAAGGAACAGAGAATGGATTTAAAATATTGGAGGGAGTTAGAAAACAGAGCGCGAGAAAGAGTTGTGTACAAATACTATGTGTATTTTGTGAGATTTGACCCGTATAACTGTAAGATTGGTGAAGCCATGAGAAGTGGAGGGGTATACAGGAAATATAGTGCTAGCGGGGCACTCACGAAATTGACGTTATCACTTGACCTGATTTAACTAGCCTAATAAATAGAATGAATATGATTAAGTCAATGGATAAAATAGAAATAAAATTCAGAAACATTCATCCTTGAAATGTCGAATTTCTAAGAAATGAGAGGAGTTCTATGGTCAGCAGTACGACGTATCTAGCCTGTAACTTTAATAATATGAAGTTCTAGAAATACTAGGCAAAATAATGATTGAATTAGAAATTCGTAGATGCAATGATCTCTGGTTTTATTACTTTTAATAAAATGAAATTTTATTTAAAGTGATAAAAGTACAGCTGGGCACAGGCCTTCTCTCACTTCTGAGAGGGTTTTAGGACAAGGAAGTATCCGCTGCGCTTCACCAATGCATGACGGCAGACTTCACATGTCTTCGAAATATTTTTTATTGATTTCTCAGACATGCAGGTTTTCTCACAATGTTTTCTTTCAACGCCGAGTACGTGGGAAATTAGCAATTAATTTAGCAATTAACAATTTCATTGCCGTCGGCGGAAAAATGTATTTAGTGTGAAATAATTACTTGGTTTTCTCTTCAGTAACAGACGCTAGCATGAACTCTGTTGATTTATCATTTGGGATCACGTGGCATCCATCTGCATCAGCCTCCAAGTCTCCAGATCTCTTGTCAAAACTAAAACAAAAAGCAAAACAAAAGAAATTATAAAAAAAATATCATGAAAAATCCATCATCACGTTCGATTCGTGGATATCGTTAGGAGAAATATTATGTAGTATATTAGGTGAATTATTTGGTTACCAAGTCGCAGGTGGAGCGAAAATTTGTGTAAATCTACAAATCTTTTAAAACCAAGTCAGAATTTTTTGTGATTTTTTAAAGAAGTGAGGATGACAAGCGAGCACTAAGCCAAAGCTCTTGTCCTTGACACCGTAGAGTTGGACTAAAATTAAAGAATTTCAACGGAGTAAATATAATATCTCGACATTACAACAATTTCAGCCCATCTCAAATTTTCAGAATTATCTTCAGTAGTGACTGAAGATAGTCCTTCACCAAGGAGTACCACAAAACACAGTCCGCAGCCAGCCATCAATCGGCCTCCTTCACGTCTTTTGTTTTCGGTTATGAAGAGACATACGAGATGCCATGGGGTATCAAGCAGTGAGTGTCCTAAGATGCTACAGAAGGATATTATACAGAGTATGGGAGCAGCATCTTCCTGATAAAGACTTTAAATAATAAAACAACTGCGGTTACTAACTCTCACGTCGAGCCTGGCAAAATAAGCTCTCATAACTATCACACAGAGTGGTATAAAGATAATATGGACTTCCATTTCGCACGATCTTGGAACACTGTTCTTCCTTCTTTAATATCCTCGGATAAGGGTGTAAGGGTATAAGCGCGGCAACTATAGCAAAAACCTTCCCATGTAGTAAAATATGGGGGAGATCTATGTTCAGTGGTTGGCATTTGATTGTCCTGCTTATGTATGATATATATAGGAATACGACCCTATAAACATATTTGCACACCTGGAACCTTTTTACTTTTTATAAGCCAGTGCTTGACCACAATCCTACCTGGTGGTAAGTGGTGATACAGCCTTAGATGGTAAATCGCCCTGTCTTATTGTAACAAAAGCCTATTCACTCTCGCCTTGAAGACGCCCCGGTTGTATTCAGACGGAAAGATTGACGCCGGCAAATTATTCCACTCCTTTTCTGTACGCATTATAAAAGACGAAGATAACCGTTTGGTTCTAATGCGTGGAATATCGACAACAAACGGATGAACACCCGCCGACCGCCTGGTTGTCTGATGGTGGAAAGGAGAGGGAGGAATTAAAGCGTGTAATTCCTGCGCGTACTCACCGAAATGCATCCTATAGAATACCGAGAGACTGGCTGCTCTGCGCCTGTGCTCGAGGCTGACAAGATTGGTTTCAACCAAATCAAGGTCACCAATGAGCCTCTTAGCTTATTTATTGTCGATTTGTCAAAGTCGCACTTCCCGTTCACAAAAAAACTGGTTTATTACCTTTACAATAATCTAACACGTAAAAAAAACACGTTACTAGTAAAAGGAAACACTAGTGAATAAGCCTTTTTTACAGAATAACGGTGACAAACGTTCACACAGTTCACTTGACGGTAAGTGGATACTGTGGCCCATATACATCACAGATAGATGCGTTGTATCCCCTGAGGATTAAGATGAAATTCCTCGTATTCAGTTGAAAGGGTCTCTTAAATTTGACAAAAAATAACTTTGCGTACATCCGCTAGATAAAATAAAATGATGTGTCTTACCTAGTTTGAAGAGTACCTCCCGCCCTCCCTCGATTGCGTGCACTTGTTTGCTCTTCAAACTAGGTAAGACACATCATTATATTTTATCTAGCGAATGTACGCAAAGTAATTTTTTGTCAAATTTAATATAATGGACTTCCGCAAAGTAACGCCTGATTCTATTAATTATCTTAAAAGGGCCTCTGGTAATATATGATGAATGAAGAAGCCCTCACTATACGAAAGACAGCAGGATTAAGTTGCTATGTTACGCTGGTTTTCTGTGAGAGCGTGTGCTTACCCAAATCGAACCGACCCATTCTTGCTATGACTTTAATATAGCTGCAGCGTGGCTCCAATAATAGCCTGATTTTTATAAAAATCCAATAATTTTTTTATCGTCGCCATCTATCAGACCGTGGTAAAAAATAATATGTTACCAAAACTTCTCGAGAACAACTTGACGTAATGACTGATTAATCTTCAGACCCATGCGGAGTTGCTTCCTTTCGAAAACTATTTCTTTAATCCTTCTTTTGTTAATCTATATATATACGCTGTTGCTGATTCTATCACTGATGTGGTGCTACAGGGAATGGAACTATTTATTCCATCATCTGTGGTACCCATCGGAGACAGATCTCAGCCTTGGTTTGGTCGCTCCTGTAAGACTGCATTGCGCAGTAATCAGGAGTTTTATCAAGCCTGGGCTGCGGCTTTGGCGACTCGGGATGTAAACACCAGCACACTTAAAAAGAAGTATAACCTCCAGGTCCTTCAAAAGAGTTATTGCCAAGGCAAAGTCAGAGCACAGGCAGATTTGGCGAGAAACTAGTTCGCCTTCCTTCGGAAACCCGTGCATTCTGGTCTCTTGCCAAGGCTGTCCATGGGAATTTCTGTAAGCCATCACTACTATCTTTGCACAGGGAGGACTACTCACTGGCCCAAGACGCAAAAGACAAAGCTGACATTTTAGGCTCCCTTTTTGCGTCCAACTCGACTCTTGATGACGGGAGGAAAACACCGCCGACCATCCCGCGGTGTGAGTGCTCCATGCCGGATGTGCTGTTCTCACAGCGCTCGGTTCGCAAAGCACTTCTCTCCCTGGACATCCAGAAGTCGAGTGGGCCTGACGGAATCCCCCCAATTGTGCTGAAGACGTGTGCTCCGGAGTTGGCACCGGTCCTAACTTGTCTTTTCCGGTACTTCTACTCCCAAGGCGTAGTCCCGAATGCATGGAAGACAGCTTTTGTCCACCCGATCCCTAAAAAAGGCGACCGCTCAGATCCGTCCAAATTAATGGAATCCATTATTAACTGCCAGCTCATCCGGTACCTTGAGGATCACCAGCTGATTAGTGACCGCCAATACGGTTTTCGTCGGGGTCGATCAGCTGGTGATCTTCAGGTCTACCTGACCCATAGATGGGCGGAGGCAGTAGAGTCCAAGGAGGAGGCGTTGGCCGTTAGTCTGGACATTGCGAAGGCCTTTGATCGGGTTTGGCACAAAGCGCTTCTTTCGAAGCTCCCTTCCTATAGGCTTCCCGAGAAATTGTGCAATTGGATCACCAGCTTCCTTGCATATCGGAGCATCAAGGTCGTTGTAGACGGTGCATGTTCTGACTACAAGCCTATTAACGCTGGTGTTCCACAAAGCTTAGATGAATCATCCATGTCATTTATATTTTAGACGTATATATTAATAGTTATTTATATGTATTATTTGTATATGTATGTTGGTATGAATATATGTATGCTTATGTATGTACGTATATATTTGTATACATGTATAAATAGGATATATTTTTATAGTTTATTTATTGTATATAATAGTAAAATGTATATATAACGTAATTAATTATACATTTCTATTTTCTTTTTATTCTATATTGCTACACCTACTTCAAATTCTCACCACTCCATGGGTTGACTGGTAGAGAATGCCACAAGGCATTAAGTCCGCCCTTTGTATTATTTTAGGTTAAGGAATGCAATAAAGAATAAATAAATAAATAAAATAAAGCTGTACGCTATCACCAACGCTATTTCTTCTGCATATCAATGATATGTTGCTAACTGGTAACATTCATTGCTATGCGGATGACAGCACTGGTGATGCTCTATACACCGGCCGTGCCAATATTTCTCGGGAAAACGTCGCCGAGTACGGGAACAAACTTGTGTCTGAAGTCGAGTCTTTGCTGAACAAAGTCTCGGATTGGGGGCGACTAAATCTAGTCCAGTTTAATCCTCAGAAGACACAATTTTTCGCGTTTACCGCTAAAAAGAACCCCTTTGTCGTATCTCCTCAGTTTCAAGGCACTCCCCTTCTTGTCTCAGCCAGTATCGGTATCCTCGGAGTAGACATTTCGAGTGATGTGCAGTTTCGTGGTCACTTGGAAGAGAAGGCCAAATTAGCCTCTAAAAAGCTTGGAGTGCTCAGCAGAGCGGGACAGTATTTCATGCCGGCACACCGCCTGCAACTTTACAAGGCGCAGGTTCGGCCTCATATGGAATACTGTTCCCATCTCTGGGCAGGGCCTCCCCAGTGCCAGCTCCTTCCACTTGACCGCATCCAGCGCAGTGCGGCTCGAATCGTCGACGACCGAGCCCTTTCCGATCGGCTCGATTCATTGGCACTGCGAAGAGATGTTGCATCTCTTTGCATTTTCTTTCGCATCTACCATGGTGAGTGCTCTGAGGAATTATTCGGATTAATCCCATCCGCCAAATTTCACGAACGCACATCGCGGCAGAACTCCCGATACCATCCACACCATCTGGATGATTGGCGGTCCACCACTGTGCGATTTAGAAGATGTTTTCTTCCACGCACGACTTCCTTGTAGAATCGATTACCATCAGCGATTTTTCCGGACCGATACGACTTAGGGACCTTTAAGAAAAGAGCGTACGCCTTTTTAAAAGGCCGGCAACGCATCTGCAATTCCCTCCCTGGTGTTGCAGTTGTTCATGGGCGGCGGTAGTCACTTACCATCAGGTGAGCCGCATGCTCGTTTGCCCCCTCTCCTATAAAAAAAATATATATTTATAGTTAAGCTATATGTCTGTAATATCGAAATAGCTGCCTTTTATTGGGCAGATGGCGTTATTTGCATGCTATGACATGAATTATCATTTTTAAAACATTTGCCTGTCTGTCTGTCTCGCTATCTATCCAGTCTGTCTGTTTGTCTACCCGGGCTAATTTTCGAAATGGATTAACCGATGCGAAAAATATTTCGTGAAGTTACGAGCAATGCCAAGAGTGGTGAAGGCTATATTTTACCAGAAAAACTCGGAGATTTTGAGAAACCAAAAAATTGTTAAAATAAATAATATTTGGAGATTCTCTTAATCCTAAATAACTCCACATGAACAG